AACCGCAGCCCTAGAGAAAGCAGAATGGTGTGTATATAGTTCTCGCTTCTTGCAGAAGCCACCTAACGTTTTTGGGTTTTTTTTTTCTCTTCTTCTTTTGCTTTACTGCCAGTTGCAAGGTGTTAGACAAGAGGGGCCCAGGGGCCTGTACACGCTTAATCTCTAATCTCACTTAACCACTTTTAAGTCAGCTTGCTCAAGCCATATATCTGTAAGTTGCACAGCCCTTGTGTAAGATAAGCAGGAGCCAAGATGGAGAGCAAGGACGGTCCTGATGACTTCTCAGAGCACAGTCATGATGACTTCACTAGTTTTCTGGGGAAGTGAAAAAGTCATCACGAGGAAGACGTACAGCCTTCATCCCTGAGACCCCTACTCACGACCACCAGGAGACACTGCGCACGCGCAGCTGAGGGGGGTTAGGGGTGGAGACTATGGAGATGACTTCTCTGAGCTCATTGTAATAAGACCACCTTTTTCTCGGAAATAATTAAGAATATGTATTAGTAAAAGGAATATAAACCAGAAATAAGAACTACACGGTGTGTGTCTTGGTGGAGCGGAGACTCCCGGCGCACCCAGCGCTGTTTGCTTGCTTTTATTCGCCTAATAAATTGTAAACTTTAATTGGAGTTCTGCTTGGGACTCACTCATTTATCACAGCAGACACACAGCCAACCACACTGGAAAGCCAAAGGGTATTCCAGCAACAAGTGACTTTCCACAGTCCAGGAGTGACATCCGAGTGACTGTTCACCTGTCTTAAGAAAATGCTCCAGACTTGTGAATACACTGACCACAGATCTTTTCTGGCTTTTCCAGAAAGTTCTTCAGTTACACAAACAACTTTTATCAGTCCACTGAGTGTTTTTTAAAACCGAGTCCTTCTATTTGTTATTTTTGGTTGTTTTTCTTTTCTCTTTATCTACTGTGAGCAACGCTACCTTCAGGTCTGTTTTCCTTGCCTACAATGTTTGATCTACTTATAACTTTTAAAATAATATCTTTCATCGTAAACTTCAAGGCAGAGTTTTCAAATACTTTCCAAATTGTAGCCCCGAGACTTAGGGGGCACATTTCCTGGCACTCTAATCAGTATGCCATAATGCTGAAATTATGAAATTGTAAAGCAGTGTCTGCTTTTTTCACAAACTCGTATTATTTTCACAAAAAAAAAAAAGGCAACAACAAAACCACCACAATAAAACAAAACAAAAAAAAATACTGAGCTAAAGAAATTTTCTCAGCATGTTTTTAAAAGCTGGATAACAGTTCTCAAGATAATCATTGCTGAACTGCAAATATTGTGTTACCTTACAGTACAGAAGTCTCCTCTCACCCGCCTTTCCTGCTCGAGCTCTTTGTTGGTCGTTAACTGCCCATGATGAATAGTTTCTTCCATTATCCAAACTACAGATCTGTCCTCACTAGACAATAGCCAGCTATGCTGGCAGATGAGTGCATTTTGGATTAGGTATTCTCTATTCTTACAGTTTTACCTAATGGAAATTTGTAACATGTAGTAATCCGATTGCCAAAAAATGATACAAGATGATGCAAGGAAAAATATTTAAATTTGTAGAACAACAAACAGACTGCATGCTCCTCTTTCAGCTTTTCCAATTCTCAAAGTTTTTGCTTTGGCATTCAAACTACCACTAAAATATATGAGAAGTTAAGTGCCTTAAAAAGATTCAGTAACCTAAATACCTCTGTGAATACTGTCCAGAATGTCTTATTTGGAACCAGGCAAAGTAACTAAAAATATCTCCATGGATTTCAATAAAGTTCAGATCAAACTCTTTATATGCTACTGTTTTGCTTGTCTTAGTGTAAAACTGACCTTAATATTGAACACGTTAAAGGAGCATCCCACTTTTTCATTCTCCCTTCCCTCTCTTCAGCCTTGCACTTTCCATGGCTGGTTTGTTGTTTGTTTTTTTTTGCTTGATTTGCTTGTGACTCCCTTTTTCCCTTTGGGCAATGAGAAAGTCACAAATTCATCCCACTTGTTTCAGATACTTAACAGTCTCCCAAGCCTTCAACCTCATCCCATCAAAGAAGAGCTGGCTGTCTCTGGAGGACAATGCAACAGATAGAAAGGCTGAAGTACCTCTCTTTGTCTCTCCTTGTCTGTGAACTAGAAAGGAGCCTATGGAAATGGGTTCCTCACTTGACCCCTCAGTGCAGGACCTACAGCTGGGCAGGATAAATCTCAAGTTCTGGCATACAATCCCACCCAGTATCCACTGGGAACACTTGACAGCCACTGACTCCATTGAAATGCTCCCAGCACATTTTTCCTATAAAAACCACCCCTCCAAGAGCACGGCAGAGTCAGAACAGAGGGCACAATCATGCACATCCAAGCCCTCTTCCCAACCTTGTCAAGCAAACAGCACTCCTTTTCTTTCGATTATTTTTCTCAGTAGTGAATCTACATCTCGTTTTCCACAGGAAACGCAGGAAGACAAAGCAGCTGGCAGGGATGCCAGCTCTGTCCCTCCCCTCCTTGTCCTCAGGTTAAAAAGCGTGACATAAAAGCAAATCTCTGTGGTTTGTCCTTATTGTCTGTTTGCTGAAGGAGGCAGCGTGCTCTTGGTTGTGTGTTGTGGTTTCAGGATGTGCCTTGCTGCCATCAGCGCTGCACAAGGACAGCTGTCCTGCCGTTCCCCCCTGCGTTGGGCTCAGACCCAACTCCCTCCTCAACCCTCCCCTCCCCAGAGACTCCAAGCTTGTCAGTGGGAAATGAATGGATTTGCCTTCCTCTCTAGTTCTCTCTCGCAAGGGAGAAGAACAGCTGCTGCCCTCCCCATCCCCAGGGAGGTCTCCCCACTGCTCTTCTAGCCAGAATCTTTATAACTGAATGTGAAAGAGAAAACAAAACATAACAATTCTGAGTATTTGACAACGACAAGCACTGAAACTGGGGCTTTTAGGAATCGCTTTATCCATTAATTCACACCTAGAAACTGTTGCTAGATTTGTAAAATTGGTATGATGGAGACTTACACTCTCTGTTTTCACCTGCAGCGTATTTTATGGCCTTGAAAACAATGTATTTGATTATATTCCAGAGGTATCCCTTAGGGGAGAACAAGGCTTCCACCTAATATGCAATTTTTGAAATTCATGAAGCTGTCTCCTAAGCTTACTAAAATCAGTGACTGCACTGATCTTTCCTGATCTTTCCTGGTCTTTCCATCTGTTCCCACAGGTTCTTGTCTTCTGAGATGTCCTTGTGCAGAGTTCTGGAGTGTATCTTTGTAGCTTGGAGAGTAGCTGACCGAGGAGCAAGAAGAGTCTGGGGTTATCATCTACAACCCCTTTACAAATGGCCAGTTTCAGGGCTTTTGGATAGAGGAAAGAGTTAGCTGTCAGTATTTTGTGATAAACAAAAGGGGAAGATCAAATGTGAGCCTTGCTGAAACCAGACCTCCCGTGTTTAATGGCAGTTGGACCTCTCGAAGAAACCACTTGGGCGGATACCCTGTCCCATGTGGTTGAGCAGTTCCCTCTGCCAGTGGTTTCAGAGGAAAAGATCACATATCACGCACACAGCCAGAGCCTTCTGGAGTTAATAAAATTATTTGCTCTTCTTCCCCAAAATGTTTTGGATTAACACATCAAAATTTCCAAAACACTGGCACGATGGAATACCTGCAGGCACCAGGCTCAACGGAGGTAAGCAGCCAACCCACAGCATAACACAAGAGTGGATGATACTAAACTGCTCAGGAATCACCTTCGTAATATCAGATTTTATTATGTTTTCAGAAACTGCCTCATCTTCTGTAATGCCACAGCAAGTAAAAACATATTACATGTATTTTATTTTTTTTATCCTTTCTTTGTTTTTTACCTTTGAATTATTTTTACCTTTACTTTTAAATGATTTCTAAAGAGAGTTTGTATTTGCAGGTTTCTATTCCAAATATCCCTGTGACTTCAAATGGGCATAAGATTTCGAATTAGCTCAAGTTTCAAACTGCAGTCACAAATATTCTACGAGAAAAGGGCCATAGAAAAGATGTGAAATGCTTGTTCTTAATAGAATCAGGTGAAATAAGTGACGAGAAGACAATTTCCATTTATAGTACTCTGTGTACTGCAGCAGCTGTAGCACTGCCTCTGATAGTGGGATGATTTCAAGTTTAAAAGTGTATCTATCCCTTTTTCTCCTGGTATGGTACAATGACAACAGGAAAATGACAACATTTTGAAGAGGAGGAGCTGTGGCCAGGCAGTTTTTATGCAGCATGATGTGAACACCTGGCTGGGAGAAGGCTGAAACCTGGACCCCAGTTAAACGTATCTGCCTCACATCTTTCTCCCATCTACATCTGAGAATTCAGGGTTTTTCCCGTTTTTGCACAGCAAAAGGAGAAACACACAGAAAGTGCAGCTGGGATTCTGTGTCAGGCAGGATCTGAGCACTCTGCTTAATGCAACAGGTAATGCCCACACCTTTGGTGACAGGGTTTCTCTTGCTACACATTTCTCCTGCTATTCCCATAGGTCTTCATTACAGTCATCATCAGGTTACACAAACTATTAATTAGGTATTGAGCCACATCCACAGAGGCAAAACCAACATTGGTATATGCAAATTAATCAGCATGTTACCTGAGTCCTTCAGAACCGCCACACGGACTCAATCATGCCACTGTCAGTGATTTCAATGTTAAATTGGTGTCAAAAAGCACCTTTCAGCAACTTGGATGTACAAAATTGAACATAAGCAAAATTGAGCACGACCATAAAGCTCAAAAAAAGGGGTGAGGAGAAAAGACTGTCCCAGTGCCATAGATCCACCATGGCATCAGTCAGGACTGGATCCACAGCTACAATATGCAATTGGCTGCCTGAGGTTGCCATCACCACCACCATCATCCCCCCCCTCCCCCTTCCCACTCCCTCCCCAT